TAAGTCAAATAATGAAATGCACAGAATTGGACTGATCGGGTGGAATAAGCTGCAATGTGAACAAGGGCTGCATGATCAAACTGCAGTTTTTCTGCTAAAAATCAAAATTGCGATTAAAGGTTTGCGCTTTGTAAAGTTAGGGCAAACGTTTTTTTGATTATATATCAATATGACTATAGAAGTATAATACTATTTAATATGATGATAAATATTTTTATATTATTATTAAATAAAAATACCAAAAAAAAAAAGAAACATCATTGTAATATTTAGCAAAAATAAAAGAAATGTAAAATACACTAAAATAGTATTTAAAATAATAATATAGTAATATTTATTATTAAAACTGTAAAATTACAATAACATTTATGGCCATCTTATTCTTCTTCATTTTTGTTAAAGAGTCAAACGTTTATTCTGAACAAAACACCAGGAGCCCTTAAAGTTTCTCTTTTGTTCACAGCAGCCGGTTTATAAGCTCATCTCATTACAAGTATGGGAAGGCACATATTGCACTTTTTAAGCAAATTCAGATCAGATGCAAAAATGGAGTTTGTGAGGAGCAGCATTTACTGTGAACTAAGCTGCTCCAAAATACTGGATCATAAACTGCATGTGTGTAATTGAACACTATGCCATGCTTCACTCCAAAACATGCAGCACATATATTTAATTAAATTGCAATTTGAAAATAGTGAACCATATTGCAATTTCATTTTATTTTGATTAATCATAGCCCTAATTTAAACTAGTCTTTTATATATATAAGTCAAAAGATGCCTCATTAAACAAATCAGATTACACCATTAACCATTATAGATTAATCACTGCTGCAAAAATGTGCTTTTTGGCCAAGTGTAGCAGCAAACAGAGGAGTTCAATGACCTATCAAAGTATGTCCTTCACAAGTTTCTCTGAATTATGTTTTTCCACTAACATCAACCCCTGGAGCTACACTTACACCTCCAGACAGCTCAAAGCCTCAGAAAAGAATTAAAGAAATAAAACTTCACTCTTGGCGCTCACATCTCCGAGCACACTAAATCGTCTCTGCATCAGGACCTCATTTCCCATGAGCCCCTGCAGGCGTGACTCTCATCATCACCCAGTGCTATGAGGGGGTCTATACAGCACAATCCCAGAGGACCACCCAGATCTTCTCTGTCATGTGAAAACCTGCTCCACCAAAAAACTTCGACACAACTATAGACTTCCAACCTGGGTGTGATCCAGAGATGACATCTCAGCAATCCCATCATCTACTTCAGCATCCACTCAACACGGTGGGGGGTCAGAGCACCAGCTTTGATAGAGCTGCAGAGGCTTGTGTCGACTGATCTCAGAGTAGGCTTGCCGCGATAGACGGTGTTGACGGTGATACCGGTGTTAAGCAGCAACACCGGTTACGTCACTTGCCCACCGCGGCACCGACCCCCACCGTCGTTTTGATTTTTTATAGAAATAAAAATCATCTAGTTCAGTAAAAGAACAGACACTACAATTAAAAACTGAACGCAGCTGCTCAATGCAGCGTGCCGAACGACAGTTGCATCACAGATCAGATTTAATTTCTCCAGTGAGGAGTGGGTCTTTTCATTAGTGATGGACCGATACACAGCAGCCCCAAAAATCTTTAGACACTTTTGGACACTTAAGTCACACGTATAAATCTGAATGTCACTGCATTAGATACAAAATAATAAATCATTAGATACAAAATAATAAATCAAGTGTTTTTGCACAAGTATAAAATAAAATAAATAAATAAATAAATAAAACACTGAACATTTTTGAAAACCACTTTCTTTTTATGATATATTTTGCTTGAAAAAGCAAGTTTGTTTGGTTGTGCTGTCTTATAAATAAATAAAATGCCATTTGGTTTGACATTTTATTATATAATGTTATATATACAACCGTTCAAAAGTTTGTGGTCAGAAAGTTTTTTTTTTGAATACTTTCATTCTATGGAGGACCAAAGTTCTCTAAATGAAATGATTAAATAAATAATGAATTCAATAAAACAACAGTTAAATGTACCAATTTATTCTGAAATAATTATATAATTATTAAATAACTGAACTAATTAATCAAATAATTAAATTAATAAAAGAATCAATAATTAAATGTATCCATTTATTTAGTAAAATTCCATGAAAATCTTTGTGTAAAATATTTCACAATATCCTCTTTCACACACTACTTCTGTGTTTAAATACCTCCTTTTTTCATAATAAAATGTGCTTTTCCAAAAAGTCGTTTTTCATAATAATATGCTGAATTTATGAATGACGTCTATTTGACGAATCATGTATTTCCAAACCACAACTGGTTTAAAGTTGAAGAGCAGGCAGATGTGACAAATCGATCTTCGTGTGGTTGGTGACATTAGTGATGGAACGCCAAGTTCAGTTTTTCCCACGTACTATGCACCTGCAAGCATGGCGAATAAGACGATATCAGTCTTATTAAGTCAAAATAATATTAAATAAAATGTTCTAAACATGCTATATAAATAAATATGGCCTTTAAAAATGTTTAATGAAGGTCTCCTCGGCCCGTTGAAATGCAACCAGCCCTGTACGGGGCTCTGGAGTTATAGCTGGTCAAAGGTAGATCTTTGGGGGGGGTTAACCATTATATCATCCACCACAAGCCGTCCCAGTGCAGTGCGTGGGAACATTTATCTGTATTGATTTGTTCTATGCATCAGGGGGTCCCAGGGCTCGAGATTCGCAGGGTAGGACGGGGCAGTGATGCTGGGTGCAACTAAAAAGGTCCCATTTCCGGCGAGTTTCAGGTGGGGAGTTAAGGACGGCTGAAGCCCTGGCTTCTGCGGCTCAGCGGCCTCATACCACACGATCCTCTTGACTGTTTACTTCCTAAACTGACATTTTCTTTAGAGCGCTATTCAGCGCAAACCCCGCCCAGCAGCCAATTTCATTGGTTAAGGTTACGAAGTACACTGTAAAAAAATATCTCGAAGTTTAGTTGTTTCAATTGATTTTTTTTAAGTTGACAACTTGCAGTTTCTGAATTTGTTCATTCAACTTAACATTTAAAGTTTTCACTGTCTCAACTAGTTTGTAAATTGACTGAACTAGAGTATTAGCCCCTCAACTTAAAAAAAATGTGTTGAATCCACTGATCTATATGATGACTGGATTGCTCATTGCATTCTAAACTGCCGTCAGGGGGTGAATCCACCAGAAGTGTTCGAGCGGCCATCTTACTATTACCTTCCGGCTGAGAGCATCGTTGACTGACAGCCGAAACACTGACCTAAAATCACCTGATTTGAAGCTCATCAGACACACAGGATTAGTTTTTAGGATATGTTGTGTATGTCAATTAATTGTTACTTCAGATGTTATCTGCAATGTTTATGGTCTTTTCGGACAGGATAAGCGATATTGATGTATTAAACATGGACATATGATCTATAATAGAGAACTGGATTGCTCATGACGTCATAAAAGTTAAGCTACCACGCCGCCATATTAGTATTCCCATTCATTCTAATAATTAATTAAAGGGGTCCTATTATGCTCTTTTACAAAGCCTTGATTTTGTTTTGGGGGTGTACTAGAGCAGGCTCTCATACTAGGTTGTTCGAAAAACACATTATTTTTCACATATTTTACATTATTACAACACCTCTCTCCCCAGTCTGGCATGAACGGCTCAAATAGTTCCTGTATCAAATGAAGGCCTGCCTTCTGAAATACGAAATGTGCTGTGATTGGTTAGCTGGGCCAGTGTGTGTTGTGATTGGCAGCACTCGGCGACTGGTCGGGGAAATGTCACGCCCCTTACCATAGCCGCCTGCAAGCTTCAGTGTAAATATTGAGTCAAAATCAAATCAATTTGAGCGCGATTTAAACCCGGATGATTGTAACCACTAAGTTCGTCTGCCTTGGGAAAGCTAGCGTGTCTCCGACATAGTGATAACACTCGTTGCCTTCTCTAGTGCAGCTCAACCAGGTCTCGTCCCATTCGTCGATATTTGTGATATCACAAATCCCGGAAAATATGCGTTGTAGTCCAAACGTTGCTCCATTAGAACATAAAAAAATACACGCATCATAACTTATTCAGAGAAATAACACTGACTACATACTATACAGTCTTAAAGACATGAGCTTTATTTCCAAGATGATGCATGGTAAGCTTTGAATTTCAATACAACATACAGCAATATTAACAGAGGTTTGTATTGTAATATTAATTGTATATCCGAATCGATTTCTGATAGTAATACCAGCTATATGTCCATGTTTAATATTTCCTGCATAATTATTTTGTTGGCTCAGTTACCTGTGTCGGCAAGTGCGCAGCAGACACACCCACACCCATTTCAAAATCGCTTATCCTGTCCAAAAAGACCATGGTATATCTGTGAGAATTATCTACAAAAAAAAAAATAAAAAATTATCTACAAAACTGTGATTTGACTGTGAAGACATTTACACAAATTTCTATAAAACCAACAAACCTTTCTATCTGCTATATGAAACACGAAGAAAGTGAATGTGAAACACTCTGACCAAAAAACAAAACCTCTTGGAAAATGATGGATTAAATGTTTAAATCACCAAAACAGGCAATAGTGATATCGTAAATTCAAATACATCTTTGTTCTTTCTATTTCTTTCTTTTACTCTGTTGCCCCATCTCAAAATAAATATGCATGTTATACATGTACAGACTCACATGCACACCCTCCTTCACTCCCGAAGGTGATCAGGTTGTCTCTAATCAAGGTTGAGAGCTCCTGAGCCTGTTTCAAGTGTGTTGAGGGCTGAAGACCACATGTATATTTAATGGGGCGACGTCTGCTGCTTATCAAAATCATCAGTGTTTGAGGGGTATGATGATGAATGCATATGTCAAGTTATTAATAAAACGTGGTCATCTAAAGCTCTTCTACCTGTATGTCTATCGTATATGTAATGATGTAGGCCATTAAGTGGAGAACAGTATTGGTGAAGGTGCTGCACCTGTGCTGTGTAAAAAGTCACTCCAGCTGAAATGTGATGCCACTCTGGTCTCAATCCCTGGAAACATATGTAGACGTTTCAATAATTACATAACATATTATATTTCAAAAACATTCAAAGACCTTTCAAAAATGCAGTTGGCCCACAACTTGCAGTATTAATAAACTCTACCTTGAGGCTGTACATAGATCTTCTTGCACTCACATACCTGGAAAAAATGGTCAAGAAATAAATGTTAGATCCCTACTGGACATTTGTAGTAGTGTAAGATATGCGTTCCCAACCTACCGACTAATTAATTTCAATTACTTCTCCACTGGTTCATGTTTACTAGGAAAAAACAGTTAATAATAATAATTCTTATTATTATTTTACTAATTTTAGATATTAATATTACTTTATGAATGACCCTGGAAACCCTGCAGATGAAAATAAACCTAAATGTCAATCGTTAGAATTTCTCTTTTTATGACCATAGAGTTATCCATGTTCAAAATTCATGCCCAAAACATGTCCTTGGCTAATGTAATAACAGAAAAAAATCTGCTGAAAAAAATCTCGAATCCATGATTTGCCTAAATCAATACCAGCTGAGGGGAAAAAAGACAAACAAAAACAATACAGCAGCAGGAACGTAATAAAATAATAAAATGTAAATGGCTGGTTGAGATAAAGTGGATAATTTCACACAGATAGAGGGGAAATTGGCTGGATGTTATCAGTCCTGGGAGAGGGAGACCCCTGGTGTGTGTGTGTGTGTGTGTGAGACAAAAACAGAGACATCCTGTTTGCCTTGAATTGTGTGTCTGGGGGTGTGTGTGTGTGTGTGTGTGTGACAAAAACAGAGACATCCTGTTTGCCTTGAATTGTGTGTCTGGGGTTTCATTTGAGGATAAAACATGGAAATAGTGATTTTAATGCTGTGCTATTACAGGATTGAAGGCAGGATATTGCATCTGTAGCTGTTAAATCCTTTTGTATTATTTATAGCATCAGCTAGCGCAGTAGTTGTCTGTCTCTCACCTTTTTTCCTCTTCTCTAACCCATTAGGAATAAACACTGCCATTTTTATTACCTCATTTACTCAATATCCTTTCAGTGTGCCTATACTTTAAGTGCAATTAGAACATTTTCTACTACATACACTACAGTTCAAAGTTTAGAGTTGGTAAAAAATTGTTTTTTTTGGACTTCTCTTACGTTCACCAAAGCTGCATTTGGTCAAAAATACAGTAAAAACAGTAATATTGTAAAATTTTATTACAATTTGAAATGACTCATTTCTGTTTGAATATATTTACACAGCATTCTATCTTGTGCAACAAAAAGTCAATACTGATTTCACAAACTTTTTAAACCTCTTTATTGCACTCTGAACAGCAGTCCGTATGAAAAGGGCTCTTGACAGCTGCTGAAAGTTTGCTCTGGCATGTCAACAACAGAAGTTGTAAGAACCCAGAGCTGTAAACCCTAACGTTTCTTACCAAGAGCACCTTTGCGCGTTCTTTCAATTTATCAGTGAACGCCACAGCAAACCTGAGTGTGAGAGAGAGAGAGAGAGAGAGAGAGAGAGAGAGAGAGAGAGAGAAAGATAAAAAAAGAAGAGAGAGAGAGAGAGAGAGAGAGAGAGAGAGAAAGATGAAGAAAGTGAGTTGTCATGTTTAACATGTAAAGAAACATGAAAAGTCAGATTTCTGCACTGGTTTGTGATAGTGAGGTTCACCCCAGTGACTGCGTTCAAACGTTTTCATTTCACCACAATTCCACACTTTCCCAGACATCAAAGCTGTCAGTGGCCGTCAAAAATCTGTAAATCAAACAAGTCAAGCCACGCAAAAAAAAGCACCGCAATGCAATCACTGAGTAACACTTAAAGTTTATTTAACAATTATTCCCTTAAGACTTGTCAAAAGGGTGCGAGTCTGCCTGTACTAATCAAACAGATCACATGAATCTATAACACCTGGCTAATGAATTGAAACCAAAGCTGGCAGGCTTTGGGTAAAGATTCAGTCTATTATAGATGAACAAGAGAAATGCCTCATAATACCTGATCCTATCAATATTTTTTAGGCCAAATATTGGAGGGTTAAAAAATTAATAAATAAAAAAAAGAGAGAGAGAGACTATACACTACTGTTCAAAAGTTTGGGGTCAGTATATTTTTTTAAAACACAGTACTTGTCAATAGTTTGAAAAATTTATATATTTTTATATGATTGTTATATTTATATATGTTTTATAAGTCTATTGGGCTCACCGAGGCTGCATTTATTTAATAAAAAATACAGTAAAAAGAGAAAAATTGTGAAAAATTATTACAATTTAAAATAACTATTTTCTATTTGAATATATTTTAAACCATAATTTATTCCTGTGATGCACAGCTGAATTTTCAGCATCATTACTCCAGTCTTCAGTGTCACGTGATCTTTCTATTATTACAATTTAAAATTGTAATTTTAAATTGAACTATTTTCTATTTGAATATATTTTAAACCATAATTTATTCCTGTGATGCAAAGCTGAATTTTCAGCATCATTACTCCAGTCTTCAGTGTCACGTGATCTTTCAGAAATCATTCTAATATGCTTATCCAGACCACCTTATCCAGTACAGATTAGAAGACTAATTAAAGACCAATCTTAGAAGAAGAGATTAACAATATACTCGTAAGCTTATATAATCCTCTTTCATATTGTTCACGTACAATTAAAAATCTTTTACTCGCCCCTTGCTCCAGACCTATACGACTTTCTTCATTTTTGTGGAGCACAAACGTTTTAAAGAATGTTCTGGAGATTTCAAGCTTCAAAAAAGATGCAAAAGCACCATCAAGCATCATGCAGTCTATATGACCAGTCTTCTGAAGCCATATGAATTATTATATGAGAAACAGACAGATTACATTTTTAATTTGCATGGAAAAGAACAACCAGTACATTCGTTAATATCTCTTCTTTTGTGTTCCACAGAATAAAGGAAGTCATACAGGTTTGGAATGGGTCGTAAATGACAGAATTTTCATTTCTGGTCAAACTATTCCTTTAATTATGTCTGTGTAGAGCAGGGGAGCAGGATAAGTGTCAGATTTCATCAAAGTAAATTTGACCTGGCCTTCCGCAGAACTTCCTCCATCACAGCTCGCTTGTGCTCATCTTTTACGTCCTCGTTGACATCCGTCCCTCCAAACACCACCCCAAACGGCACTCCAGCATCTGCAGAGAAATGAAAATTCACAACAAATACATAAATCCCTTATTTCACTTATTCACCTCCTCTGAAGTTCAACTTTTAAATCCCTAGTGAGCAAAGTCTTTGAGGCATGAAACAGTGTGTTTATCTTGCCAGAGGGGAAAGCAGTCATCCATAGAGTGGACATTTTGGGAAATTACTCAAACAAATGCCATATCTGAGGGAGGTGAGAGAGAAGTAGCCTTCAATCTTAACAAGACATTCTGTGAGTAAGAATGTGAGTAACAATTTATCAGTCAACAGCCAGTTTTCTAAATTAAAGCCTTAAACTGGTAGAGGAAGCTGAAAATATATTATATGATTAAATATCATATAATATTAATGATATTAAACCATGGTACAGTGATGGCCTCACATGGTAATACCATGGTACTCCGATATATACTATGGTAATAAAATAATTACCATCTTCATATGCCATAATATTTCAAATAATACCATGGTGCATGGTACAAAAAACACAGTAACACCATGGTACTTTTTTGTAAACGTGGAATTTCAGTCATGACAAAAATACTTATTGGCTAAACATGCATGTAAATATAAGGCATTGTCAATGAAATGAAAAAAAAAAAATCTAAACGTTAAAGTAAGCAGAAATGAGCATGAACAATCAAATATCCAATATTAGTCGATGCCAAAAATAAAATAAAAACACTAATAATGGCTGATAACTGATATAGTATCAATATAATGTGCATCCCTAAACAAAATACTACTATAAAACGTGTATGGTGTAGTGTGCAAGTAGCTACTTCCACTTTATCTATCACCAGTGAAGTCATAAATTGTGTGATCGAGCTCTATACTGGACAGTAACACTAATGAGACAAGATAGATGTGTGTACAGTATCTGTGTGTGCAGGCTGGGCTCTGTGGTGCTCCACCTCAGAATAAAATCAATTGCATCTACGAGATGCTCTTACTAATATGGTGAAACCAACACATGCGTGAATTTTTTGAGAGGCCAAGGGACGTGTCACCTAAAAGAAGCCTGACTCCTTTGAAAAGATGAATGGCCAGTGCAGCCTCGAACCGCGGCTCTTGCATCATCAGGGACGATACATCAGAGGCAGAGCTGAACTCTCTTGTATCACACAGTACGCAAGTATGTCCTGCAGCCACGATATGATTCCTGCAACCCAAACACACACACACACACACACTGTATAAATCAGCATCTCTAATAAATTGGCTCTGAGCTGTTTTTTAATAACAGCCCTTACAAAAATTCTGTGGCTGTATCATGGTACAGTGATGTAATACACCATGGTGATATAGCTGTGAAACCCTATGTTTTCATCACTTTCACTAATTATTGATCTGGACAAAAGTTTCATATATTTAAAGAAATATATTTTACAAATATTTAAAACCAGGAAAACTTTAGATGTGTGATGTCATTGCTGTTTTCATGTGCAGGGATTCCCAAACTTTTTTGTCTGCCAACCCCCTTTAACCTAACAATACATAGGCTATTGCAGATCCCTCAGATTTTATTTCAGTAATATAACAACACGTTTGCACGTTCACAGATCTCTGATGTCGGTTAATGGTCATACTGACATGCACACTGTAAATGATTTCTGTTGTTTACACAGTATTATACTGTTTATCTCAACAGTTTCTTGCTTACTGTTAATTTGACAATAAATTTTTTACAGTGCAGGTAAACAAATAAAATATTTCTATTTGTAGCATTCAGTCATTACTTTGATTGTTTTTTATTTTTCTAATAATTTATTCATTTTAAAGTAGTCACAACACATTAAGTAAAATCAGTAATCTAACAGATTATGTTACTAACTACAATTCTCGTCATTCAATCAGTAAATTTGCTATATATATATATACACTGAAAAAAAAAAGATTTGTTGGATTTACTCAATTGAATTATGGACATTGGTTCCACACATTTAGTTTGAGTTCACAGTGTCCTTGTCACGATCACCAGCTGGAGTGCCCATGAGCTCCACTGGAGGGCACTCCTTACTACTCCTTTGCCATTCCGTCACAGACTACATTTCCCATAAACCTTTGCCTGGACTTATTGTTGTGTGATTACTTCCACCTGTGTGTCATTAGCTTGCT